CATCATACCTTTACTGCAAATATCAAAAAGAGACTATGCAAGGAAACTGGATGTGAAGCTGAATTTCTGCTTTCTTGACTTGTGGGTTTATACTGTGTTCCTTCCCATTTCTACCTTAAGTTGACAAGGCCCCTCAAACTTGTGCTGCAGATGACACAGTTTATAACAGATTTTCTGTTTTAAATATTGCTGGAAAATTTCTCCTCGTAATTATTGAAAACTGTTACTAGAAGCACTCGATACCCTGGAATCAGTCATTAGGCCCTCCTCTCTCAGCCTACTGAGAGCAGATTTAGGTGTGTTTATGAAAAGACTGGATCTTGTAAGTAGTAGGCAGGTTGTGGAAAGCCCGTCATCCTTAGTAGAAGATTCTTCTACTAAACAAGGTTGTATGATCTGTGAGAGGGCCATGGTTGCCCCGATACAAGGGAACAGACTCATCATTTTCTTATTACAACCCCACTTGGCCAGGATTTGAGACACAGGGGTTCAGACACATTTTTAAAGCCATAAGAGGAGACAGTCAGTCTGAACAGACCCACAACCCAGGCCAAATGATGTTGTTATAAGTAATAAAAAAAATCCACGCAAGGGTAAAAGTCAGGTAAAGCTTACCCACCGTTCTGCCTACATACAAAGCTACCTTGGTTCGGGGCAGGTGTGGAGAAGAGACAGAGGGAGTTCAGGGCCTTTTGCGTCATGGAGACGAATAATGAAGAAGAGCACGTTGTCGTGGCTATTCAGGTTTATAGTCAGCTGCTGAGGCGGTGAAAAGTTTGCCTGTCAGACGTACATGTAGCAATTTAGCCTCCTTCCCTTGGTCCAAAGCAACATAAAAGTAACAGAACAGGCATGCTTCCTGCTGCCACTCTGAACAGGCATAAAAGGCAAATCATTTGCTTTCCAGAAACAAAGTCCGGCTGCACATAGCTTTTGCTGTTATCCCCTTGTTCTATCATTTTCCACCACCAAACAACATTCAGCAAAATGAGTTAATAGTTATATGGTGTCTGGGAAAGGGAAAAAAATAAAAATAAAACAAAATAAAAGGACACAGATGGCAGAGATACAATATTACTGCAAAAGCAGGTGAATGCGGACCATCCTTGGCTTGCCAGGCTTTATGTGAAGCTTGCATTTTTCTTATCCTTGTCTTTCTTGGTTTGCTGGGCCCCAGACTGCTGGGCCTGGGACTGTAGCAACTGAGCTGCCGCCTTCTTCTTCTGGAAATTGTTCACCTCCTCCTCGAGTTCCTTCTTCTTGTCTTCCACTTTCTTCTTCTCTTCTTGGTGTGTCCGCTTTAGGAGGTCGAACTTCTCGTGGAGCTCTTTCTCTGCCTCTTTAAGTTCAGCTTCTTTCTCCTTCACTCTCATGACAAACATCTGTCTCATTTCTTCTTCTTTCTTCTGAAGTTCTCCCAGAAATTCATTCCTTTTTGCTTCATATGTCTCCTGAAGACTGAAGGGCTTGCTGTCAGGGTCGGTGTCCTTGAACCCCATCTCTTCGAGCTTACAGCGCCGATACAGCTCATAATGGCGGGTGTGAGTCTGTTCTCGCAAATCTTCCATGTTCACACGGATCAGCATCTCCCGAAGTTTCACGAAATCACAGTGGTTTTCATTCTCAACCTGCACCACACCCCAGGGGTACTGCCTGGCCTTTGCCATCTTGTTGCCAATCTTCACCTCCTCGGTGCTGCCGACCACTGCGAAAGGGAGGTGGACACTCATCGTTGCATTAATTTCTGCCACCGTTTCTTCGTCTGTGGGGAACTGATATATCTGGACTCCATTGCTGACTAGTTCACTCATGATCTTACTCTTGAATTTGTGCAATTCGTTCTTGGCAATGGTGTCAGCTTTTGCAATTATTGGAATGATGTTCACCTTACTGTCCAGCTTCTTCATGGTGACCAGGTCCAGGGACTTCAGCGAATGTCCAGTGGGGGCAATGAAGTAGAGGCATGCGTGGATCCTGGTGTCATGGTAGTTGAAGAGAGAACGTTTGATCTTCAGTTCCTCTTGCAAGTAGGCCTCAAACTGGGCATCGATATATTCCACGATCGGCTTATAGCTGTCATCCTTATTTATCTGGTCTCCAAATCCCACAGTGTCAACGATGGTTAACTTCAGCCGTACATTGCTTTCCTGAAGCTCATAACTTCTGGCTTTTAACCGGACACCTGGTTCATTGTGAGTAGCTGGGTCACTTTCAAATTTGGTGTTGAATAAAGTGTCCATTAACGTGGATTTCCCAATGCCCGTCTCGCCAACACACAGGATGTTGAAACAGAATCCTTGAGAAGTCGACTTGTTGACCAGCTGGTCGGGGAGACTGTCAAATCCAACATGGCCAGAAAGAGACAAGTTTCGAAGCTCTTCATTAGATGGTCTCCCCACGGCCACGGCCATCGCGGCTGCTGCTCCAGCTGCGCCCGGGTGCCCTCCGCCAACACTAGCTGCTGCTTGGGCTCGGGCTCCCGCTCGCCTCCCCCGCGCCTCCCTCGCGGCTGCGCGCTGCTAGCGCCCGGCTCCCGCGCGCAACCAGCGGCATCTGCTCCCCTCCCCACGCCCGGAGCTTTGCTTATTATTGAAGTATTGGAAACAACCTAAAGTATCCATCAGTTGAGGAATGGTCAAACAAACTAGGGTGCAGCCATTCTAAGACAGATTATAAAACTGTTAAAAAGTATGAGGTAAACCTATAGACCACATCATGAAAAGATCTCCAAGACATATCGCCATGTTGAAAGCAGCAAGTTAGGGACTTCCCTGGTGGCGCAGTGGTTGAGAGTCCACCTGCCAATGCCGGGGACACGGGTTTGAGCCCTGGTCCGGGAAGATCCCACATGCCGCAGAGCAGCTAAGCCCGTGCACCACAACTACTGAGCCTGTGCTCTAGAGCCTGTGAGCCACAACTACTTAAGCCCGTGTGCCTAGAGCCCGTGCTCTGCAACAGGAGAAGCCACTGCAATGAGAAGCCCACGCACCGCAATGAAGAGTAGCCCCCGCTCTCTGCAACTAGAGAAAGCCCGCGTGCAGCAACAAAGACCCAACGCAGCCATAAATAAATAAATAAATAAATAAATTTATTTTTTAAAAAAAGAAAGGAAAGAAAAGAAAACAGCAAGTTAGCATTGCGTGGTTTAACCCAATTTTGGTTAACTGTTAGTGCCTGAAAAGAGAATGGAAGTTGGGCACAAACTTTGACAATGGTTTCCTCTGAGATGAGAGGAGGAGAAGAGGGAGAGTGTGGAAGGGCGCCCTCAGGCTTTGATCCATATACTTCTGTATCATTTGAATCTTCCACTAAAGTGTACTTGTGTAATACCTGGGTGGTTTTTTAAAAATACTATAATGACAACAAGGAATATTAGTGGATTGGAGCCACCTGGCATAACCACATCTTGGAGGACATACCAGACCCAACCCTGCAGATGGAGAAGAAGAGGAGGAGGTATGCCTGCCAGCTGATACTACACAGAGCCAACAAACTTGTAAATATTTATCCATGTGTCAAGAAGCTCATCTGCAAGAGAGAACAACAAAAACGTGAGGGTATCGCCATTCATTTAAGTAGAAGAAAATAGAAGATTGGAAACAACAATGATTACTGGTATGTAATATTTTCAGTCATATGGAAAAGGGGTCCATGTGTTCCCTGTGATCTCAGAAGCATAACAAGAACTTGGATGTCAGAGGTCACCAGCCAACATCATCCTGCTGGCTGCGGGCAGCCTAGATACACTTGGCCAGCAAATACCGTGAGGCGGTACCCATCGCTCTTCACTCTGTTTCATGTCCGCACCCTACTGATCAGGTCACACACGGCCTGCTTCATTCATTTAATGTATCAGATTCGTACGTGCATTTGGATTTTTCACCCATGCTATAAGGGTAAGTTATAGGAAATCAGATCTGGAAGCAACTTAAAAGTGGAACTTTCTAAGAAGTACAGAAAGGCAACCTACCTTACTGGCTGGGAACACAGACTCTGGAGTTAGCCTGCCCCTTATTTGAATTCTGGTCCTGCCACCTACTGCTATGTGAACTTTGGCTGGTTGCTGAAGTTTCATGCTTCATGTATCAGTTTTCCTATTGTGTGAAATGAGAGAGTAATAAGTTAGTGCCTATAAAGCATCTGTATTAGCTATCTATTGCTGTGTGTCAATACTACTGCAAATTTCACAGCTTAAAACCAACACACATTCATGATCTCACAGTCTCTATGGGTCAGTTATCGAGGCATAGCTTCTCTGGTTCTCTTTTTTAGGGTCTCACAAAGCTCAATCAGGGTGTGAGCCAGGGCTGCAGCCTCATCTGAGACTTGAGTGGAGAAGGATCTGCTTTTAAGCTCACTCAGAGTGTTGGCAGAATTCGGTTCAGGGCTTTGGTTTCTTGCTGGCTGTCAGCCAGACGCCTTCAGCCCTAACCCAGTTGCCTGCTTTTCCAAAACGCACAAGGGCAGAAAAGGCTCCAGCAAGATGGCTGCTACAGTCTTACGTGCATAATCACTTACATGTCATCGCATACATCCCATCACCTTTGCCATATTCTCCTGGCTAGAGACAAGTCACAGGTGACACCCACACTCAAAAAAAGGGGATAATACAAGGCCTCATAGTCAGAAGTTAGGCATCATCAATGACCACCTTAGCATCTGTCTGCCACAGCATACTAACTCAGGCCCAGTACCTTTAAGGTACCTAATATATGTAGTTAGTGTTCGTTTAAACTGTCTGAAGAAGACATAGGTAGCTTTTTGAGAAGATTAGTTTCTCACACTGGGGGTACTCAGACAGGACTGGATGGTGACTGTAAATAAAATCAAATGGAGGTAGGTCTTGAACCAGATGACCTTTAAGATCATCTGTGATTTAATTCAGCCACCAGACAAGGTGAAAAACTGCCCTCCTCCAAAGTCTCCTGCAGCATCTTTATGTGTTTGTTGCTGCTATTCTTCTTGCGTGGTATCTTATCATAAATAGGTGTTGAATTTTATCAAAAGCTTTTTCTGCATCAATTGAGATGATCATATGGTTTTTATTCTTCACTTTGTTAATGCGGCATATCACATTGATTGATTTGTGGTTATTGACGAATCCTTACCTCCCTGGGTTAAATCCCACTTGATCATGGTCTATGATACTTTTAATGTATTGTTGGATCCGGTCTGTTAGTATTTCGTTGAGGATTTTTGCGTCTCTGTTCATCAGTGAGATTGACCTGTAGGTTTCTTTTTTGGGGGCTATCTCTGTCTGGTTTTGATATCAAGGTGATGGTGGCCTCATAGAGTGAGTTTGGAGGTGTTTCTTCCTCTGTAATTTTTTGAAATAGTTTCAGAAGGATAGGTGTTTTGCATGGTATTTTTTTTCATTTTTACCTGACTTCCCCTGTGTAAATGGGAACTAGAGCAGCCTATATGATTTTCTGTGAGAATTCTGAGAGTGACTTTGGTCCCTCTTAAAACAGCCAAGCTTTAGGGGTGGGGTGGGGAGGAAGGAAAGAAATGCATTTTACCTTGACTAAGATTTGCAGAGGTGCAAGCCCTCTTTTCAGCTTCTGGGCCTCTCAAAACCCTAATCAGGTTTGTGTACCTAGACTGCACTCGATAAAGGTCATGTAACATTACTGGGAAGAGGGCGAGATGATGGATTGGACTTCTAGACTCTCTCTAGATCTTGCTGGTGACTAACGAGGCTTTTTACCCTTCTGATTCACTCACCAGCTCAGCCTCCGCTGTTTGCACTGAAGGCTTGGTAAACATAAACTTTCTGTTTAGTAGCCCAGCCATGGAAGAGGATGAACAAGGCAGCTCCATTGTGGCAGCACAGAATCCAGAAAGCTGTTTTTTATGCCCGAGAAATCATTGATTTAAGACATACATAGCCTTGCATGTGAATTGCATCAGTGCACACACCAGCCCTATTTCTGCATTCAGCCTCTGAGAAATGTGACCAAAGAACCACACGCACCACACGTGCCAACACCCAAATACACCCTGAGTCATGCACACACTAGCACCTGGCCCTGTTGTGCTGGGGAGGGGGGAAGGGGGATGACTGAGGCACTCTACAGCCATGCGAGTGACTAAATGTTAGCAATACAATAACCATGATGCATCCCTGTTATTTCTTTAATTTAAGCAATTCCCCAGTAGAGTGTTGAGGTGTTCATTGCTTCTGCACTTCTTTGTTGACAGATATGTTCTTTCTCACCTGGCTAAGAGAAGCAATTACTGTAATGCTCTCCTGGACTTGGTGAGATATTCTTTAATAGATTTTAAAGGTATTGGTAGGGCAGTGTGCTTTTAAAAAGAAACTGTTCTCTGCCCTGTTCATACTTGATAACATGGGTGGATATTGTATTCAGACCACGTGATGAACCTGTTAAAGAGAAATACGCAATGGAGGAAAAAAAAGACAGGAGTAATATTTTTTCAAGAAATATATATCGAGATTTCAGATATGAGAAAAAAAATGTTCCTGTGTGTGTATATCACTGAGTGGAACAAAGATTAAACAAAACAACAACAAAAAGAAAGAGTAAGACTTTTCTTTCAACATTCAGCTGAGCATATTTCTCATGAACTTCAACACAAAGTTGTTATTTTCTGGGACTGGTGTGGCTTTCCAAATGACGGTGTGGCAGGTCACTAACTCAATACAAATCAGTAAATATTCTTTTACCCGTTGCGTGAGAGTGACTTTCACAATCTGCTTGAACCACACGTGGTTTTGTGTTTCATACGTACATTCAAGAAGAAAAAGAAAAACAGTCTTAGAATTTTTTGTTAGAATTTGGAACTTTTTTTTTTGGTGAGAGTCACTTTGGCAATCTACCAAGCCAAGGCAACCCATGTTAACCAAAGTGATGTTGTGAAAAGAAGACTGAATTCAGAGTTGAGAGCACCTGGCTTTAAGTTCTAGCAAAATGCTTTGCCTGATACAGTGTCCTTAGGCAAATCATCTAACCTTGAAAAGCTTCTGTGTTTTCGTCTTTAAGATGCTGGGTTTCTGAGAGAATCAAATGAGAAAATGTGACACTGCTAGACGCCTCTTCAAGTGGTATAGAGATGTAAAATGGTGTGATCAAAGGAAAATATAGGTTTTTGTGGTACCCAAAGCTTATACAATTTGAGGGTAGGCAGCTTTTTAAGGAAAAAAATACAAAAATGTCTTTTTAAGAGGTTACAAAACCATGTGACCATGTGAACACCTTGCTAGAACCTCTACCAAGGCTTTAGAAGAAGCCTGTGGCAGTGAAGGTCCTAGAAGCTTGAGTCAGTAGCTTTAGCTGTGCATTATTATTACAGACTTACAGAATGCCAGAGCTGAGAATGGGTTCACACCTGTTTTTTCCCAGTAGAAACGTCTTTGGAAACAAAATCTTATATGGAGAAACAGAAGAGAAAACAGATAGGAGGAGCTGAAGTTAGGACAAGGGATTTAGTTAGAACTGTGTCCATGTGGCCTCCTCCTTCCTTGGGTACCTAAGAACTTCAGTTGAAAGGGGAATTTGGAGAAACACTGTATTTCATTTATTTGAAGACCCC